GAAAGTAGGGAATGTAGGATGTGAGGTTGTTATTTGCATGGGTGAGTTTGAAGTATACGATTTTACTTATATTATGAAAATAACTTTATAGAATTATATTTAATATATATTAATTTTTATTGTATGGTATACGAAAACATGTCAAAAGTGTTGATACTTATTAATGTAATAAGTCTTAANTGTGAGGTTGTTATTTGCATGGGTGAGTTTGAAGTATACGATTTTACTTATATTATGAAAATAACTTTATAGAATTATATTTAATATATATTAATTTTTATTGTATGGTATACGAAAACATGTCAAAAGTGTTGATACTTATTAATGTAATAAGTCTTAATTCTAGGCCAACCAATATATTATTATTGGTCGGGAATCAGGTCAGTTAGTAAGCGTTTAGTGTAGGATTTACTATGCTTAGCTGCTAAGTAACATTGTGGTAATTTACTAAGCTGGAATATTCTATATATAGTACTGTAAATGTTAAAGAATTCTTTGGGACATCTGGTCACTTCAAATTTACCTCGTCCGATATATATATATTTCACTGGCCTTTGTTGGGTTTGAGATCCCTACCCTAAACTATATTTACTTTGGTAAACTTAAAACAGCAAATACACATAATTTAAGTAAAAATAACTCAATTAAATGCCGACAATAATAAATTAAAACACGAAAACAATAAATAAAATACATAAATACTGTATAATAAAATGAAAGTTGTCGCACACCAAGGACTATATACTACAAGGATAGCCAGATCCCTATTCTACAATATTAGCCGGGAATGCCAAGTTAGTGACGTCAGCACGAGACCTGACCTCTCTGTTTACATAGAGCAGGGTGTGCACGTGTTTAGTTTTCGCTTTTAATATTCGTCCAATTTTGTGATTAACGAAGTGATTTATTTTAATATTTCTGTAATTGTTTTATTTGACTAAGTTTTTTATAAGGTAAGATGATTTAAATATAAGTCATTAAATATTTAAAGCTATATTTTTATGTTAGGTGAAGAACAAAATGCCGGGTACTAGGTGTGCTGTGTATGGTTGCAATAATAACTTTTTTGCAGTAAAAGCTAAAGGAGAAAGTGTAACGTTTCATGTGTTTCCTAGACAAAAAGACTTAATTTCTAAAAGAATTAGGTCTGAATGGATTAATCGTTGCAAAAGGAGCGATAAATTTAATCCAGATACAAGTAGAATATGTTCTGTTCATTTTGTTCAAAGTGATTATGAAAGAGATTTACGAAATGAATTGTTGGGTAAGTCATAAGTACAGTTCATTCATATATATTACTTGTTTTGGCGCGTGAATGTTTAATTTGTTTGTTTTAGTATAAAACTCCAGAATATTTTCTATTTCAGGTTTACCAGAAAGAAAGATTCTGAAGAAAACAGCTATCCCTACATTAAATCTTCCGGATAGAATGAACCCAACAGTTACGGAACGAGAAAGAAGAAGTTCAAAAAGAAAACAAAAAGAAGAAGTTAATGATCTTTTAACAAATACTGATAACAATAGTAACAATCTTCAAGATGAATGTCATTACGAAATTAAATATAAGAAGCTGTTAGAAGAATATAATGTTTTAAAATCAGAATATGAAAAATTGAAAGAAGATCATAAGAAAAGAATAAAAGTATTAAACGATTTATTACGATATTACAAAAGAATGCCTTCTGAAAATGGTGATTGTCGAAAAAAAATTAAAAAGTTAAGTAAGATAATCACATAATAAAAAATATAGCTCGTTAATTTGTTAAATAAATGTTAGACAAAAGACTTGTAAATTTATTTAGGTACACTTATTAAATCCGAAAATTCTATAGTAGTTTACAGTTAGTAGTAATTTAGTAATTAATTAATTAAGAAATAATTAAGTATTTTATCGTATTTTGTTATTTGAAAGCATCTGTCATGTTGAAATAGAGGGCTTGCTGTGACGTCACATAGATCCAAGGTCACGCTAACAAATATACGGGATCTGGCTATCCTTGTAGTTTAAAGTCCTTGGTCCCACACCGTCGATTTCGGCATCTTAAATATGGCCGCCAGATCCACGAAACGTGTACTGCTTTCATTTTTCGCGATAAGTTCCTTTATCATCTCTCAATCGTCGATATTCCAACCTTCCTCTTAGGTTTAGTTGCGTCCACACACTTCTCGGATGTCGTTAATAAGTAAACGTTATATTGGGTTGAACAGAAAGTTTTGCGTATTTAAATATCTTTGGACATTTGTCGAGATGGAAGGAGGATTGAACTCGGAGATGCAGCATAGAATTCAATGTGGATAGATAAACTGGAGGAAGCTGAGCGGTGTGTTATGCGGCAAGAAAGTTAGTTGCAATCTGAAAGGAAAATTATATAACATATAACATTACAGTTATTAAACCTGCAATGTTATATGGAGCTGAGACATGGGCAATAACAAGAGCCCAAGAAGAAAAGATGGAGGTGGCAGAGATGAGAATGTTGAGATGGATGTGTAGAATGTCAAGGAAGGATAGAATAAGGAATGATTTTATTAGAGGTTTTGTTAAGCTAGACCCCTTGAGCAAAAAAATGCAAGAATGTAGGTTGAGGTGGTTTGGCCACGTAGAGCGAAGAAGCGACAATTATGTTGAAACAAGATCGGAAAACTGGTAGTAAAAGGAAAGAGAAAGACCAAAGATGCGTTGGAAAGATAAGGTGGAAGAGGACTTGAACCAGAGGAGACTTAAGATAGAAGAAGCCCTTGATAGGGAGAAATGGAAGAAACGTATTAGATAAGGAAATGCCCACCCATATAAACATGGAAAATAGCAAGGATAAAGAAGAAAGAAAGTTTTGCGTATTTATAACAGTTGTTACTTAAGTATGACATATATTAAAAACGTTCTGTATTTAATAATAATGGATAAAACTTGATCCAATAATCTAGTGTCTTATATCAGTCACGGTAGTGACTAATGACTCCCCCCGGCAAGTAAAAAAGTCACTGACTAACTACATATACAGAAATCAGAGTTACCGATTTTCGGGGGACGATTTTTCCGCCCCCAAACACCTATAGTAATTTCGAATATCTCTTGTCGTTCGAAGGAAAATTGTTTTCTTAAATAGTCTGCAAAATTTAAAGATTTTGTATAAAGCGATTGCCGAAATATAAGCAATCGAAAAGTGCAAAAATCTGCAAAAAAGCAGAATTTTCTTCTCATTTTTCTTCGTTCGGTACTGCAGACGCTCGTAGAGAGAAAACGCTGGTGGGTCCAGAAAGCTCAAATTTTAAACTTAAGCCTTCCTTTTTATCAGTGAGGTGGTGGCCAAATTTCCGGGTCGATAGGTCAAAGTTCACGGGGTTTCCCATGAAGCTATTTCGATTTTACTTTATGCTTATAAAAAAAAATTGCATGGAAACAAATGAATTTTATTCAAATCGTTACTCAAAATTACAAAAGCTCAAATTTATGCTAATTAAAACCTTTTATAACGATTTTATTAAAACGGCGTTCAGTAACGTGACGATGATTTAAAATATATTTTGATATAGGCTTACACATAGATGACGTTATCTAAATACTGTACATAAAATTGCTTGTCCTGACTGACTGACTGACTGACTCACTGACTGACTGATTCATCATCGGCCAGAGCAAACCGCTTAACCTAAAGAGGGGAAATTTGGTAGACAGTTAGGGTACGTCATGGAAACGCACACTAAGAAGGGATTTTTCGAAATTCCCCCGCGGGGAGGTGAGGGAGAGCATTAAGGCTTAACCGGAAAAACGGCTTCTACTGTACTATTTTAGATGCGATTTTTTCTTTTTATATGCGTTTTAGTAGGGTATGCCATAGGAATTCACACTAAGAAGGGATTTTTCGAAATTCCCCCACGGGGGGAGAGGGAGAGGATTAAGGCTTAACCGGAAAAACGGCTTCTACTGTACTATTTTAGATGCGATTTTTTGTTTTCAACTACGTTTAGTCTTCATTGAGTACTTAGGTGTATTAAATTGATAACATTTCAGACATTTCGATTTTTAAAATGTTCGATCCGTTTTAAATTCGAATTTGTTATTGCATATTGGTTCGATTATAGAACGATTGTAAACGTTCCAGAAAATTGATGAAATTGAAGATAGTTCGTTTGATTCTCGGCAATTCTCTTCAGCGGTAGGTGTTATATGACAATTACTATGGTTATTGAAATATTGAATGTAAATGGGGTTTGCTTGCAAAATCTCCGTGGACGAAGTTGCGGGTAACAGCTAGTCATATAATGTAACGAAATGTAATCATTATCATTTCTAATATCAAAGTTGACGGCAATTTCTTCTATAGCGATTTTGCTAAATTGTGTCATTATAGGAGTACAATAACATATAAATGGTTCATGCCGTCCTTTTCCCGAACAATTTATAAATATATATGCTTTCCGAATGTTTCAGTCCAGACAGTTCTATCACACGGTGTGGTAGTTACATACTACAAGACTCTCTGTTCCATCTATAAGGAGATAGCCCGATGTAGTGAGCACAGGATTCTAAGGAGTGAGGAAATTGTAGGGTTCTTCTAAAACCCTACAATTTCCTCAGAATTGAAAAAGACGCCATCGAGAAAAAAACAGTGCCTCGGCCGAAACAACACGAAAGGTTAGAAATGTACAAAGCCTTCGGGAGAAGGACGGTAGTTAACTTCGAGGAGACAGATTCTATTTCGTCAGGCTGGAGAGCGTACAAAAAGTTATAAGTGAAGGTTTATATCTTTGACTCTAACCATCGCGTATCTTAATGTATTTCTTACGCGATTCCTAAATATAATTGTTTCTTCTGCTAGTTTACGTTTCGAAACGCGTCATTAAAAATACACGAATCTTATTTTTATGCTATAATTTATTTTAAAAATTAAAATTATTTTTATTTAATTTAAAAAATAGAAATTGTAATTTATAATTTAAATTATAGATAAAAAATACATTTTTTTAACGCTTAAATAAAAATTAAAACTTTTGGCAACACTGAAATTGTTTGTAAAATGTAAGATGGCGGCAGAAGTTGTAGATGATGTAGAGATGGACGAGAATATAAACGAAAACTTACCTTTGGACGAATCAATGGATGAAACTCATTCCGATTCTGGTTCATCGAATTCTGATTTATCAGAAGACGAAGAAGTAGACGAAGCAAGAATAAATGAGTTGAAACAAAAAGTAAAGATAAATTCGTTTCTTACAAACAACTATTATAAATTGCCATAAACTTTTATTTTTTAAACCAATATAATGGAATTTCGTATATTTTTTCAACGGAACTGTTTTAAGTATTAATTATCTGGAGAAAGAAAGCCGAACGACAATTTATTTTAAAATTAAATAAGTTTATTTTCCAAATTTTATATTTTGGATAAAATGACACGTGTTTGGAATTCAGTATTTGTCAAATGATGATCAGTGATTCGTGTTGGTTACGAGTCATTTTATAATTTTCTTTATCACATAGAAAGAAATTTTTTCACATTGCACATTAAAAAAGCAAATCTTTGCATTAAATTAAACTGTGATAAATACTAAATTCCAATTGCGTGATTTGTACAAATAAATTGCAATTTCATCGTCACAGAAGCAGAATTATATAATTTAAAAATAAAAGTTGTATGCACAGTATGAGATCATTTATTTAGCAAGCTTATGAGGGTTGTTGGATAGAGAGCTTTCCGTGATTTAGCTAATCAGACTTAAAATGTATAAATAAAAGTAAAAATCAAATTGTTTCTTAAGGAAGACAAAAATAAGGATTTGTCAGGAACATCAGAACTACTCTCTCTCTACCACACAATATTGGGCCCACCAGTGGCCAAGCAGTCTTCGTACCCTGAACACTGGGAGTTTGGTCATGGATTTGCGCCTCGCTCAGACGGGGAGTTTTCTGGGTTTACTCCATGTCTGTAACGCCTAAATAGGGGCCAATTTCCCTTAAAAAGACCTCCCAGAAGGCATCCCCCTAGGCAGATCGCCCAAGTGCTGCATTGCCATAACTTAACAAACAAAGTATCATGCAATAAGGGTGTGACTATGCAGATGCAAGTGAGTGAGAATATGTGGCGAGAGGAGGTGGTGACTTTTTACGCTCTCTGTTTCTCGCTCTCATTTATTATGACCACACAGACGAGAGCAAGAAAGAGAGAGCATGAAAAGTCATCACTTCTCACCATATTCTCACTCACTCATATCTCACTCATATCATTCTCACTCACCATATTCTCACTCACTCACCATATTCTCACTCACTCATATCTGCATAGTCACACCCTAACTGTTGAAGCCTTGCGTTAGGTAGCTGCTATGGTAATGCGAGTCTCCATAATAAGGTTTATTTTTGATAGTTTTATTTCCTTTTGTGATTTTTACTAGCTCTTTAGTAATTATAGCTCTTTAGTAAGCTCTTATCATTCTTAATTTTATACTAATGGACTTTTATTGTAACAGTTTGGGTAATATATTTGCTGCACTCGTTTTTTTTTTAATTGCAGGGGTGAATTCTCTGGGCTTGTTTAGCATGCACTGCATGCTTAAGAGAAAGTTTTGACTGTCAATATATTTTTTATATGAGAACAAATATGCCAATAATAATTTATTCTGATGTGTAAACTCTTATCATTTGTGTTTGCTTTTACATTGACAGCTAGTGGCTAGCTGTTTTAAGTCAGTGCAATGCTTGCGGGAACTCGATCGCTTGCTCGTGTGGAGGTTTGCCACAGCAAACAAGTGTGCATGCATGACGTCATTCGAAGCATTTAACATGGCCAGATTGTATCGAAAGCTTGTTGTATCCAGTCAGTATACATGTATTGTGTACAGGGCAGATCTACATAGAGATTAATAGGGCTTAAGATGGGGCCCAGTGTCAAGGGCCTGCAAAATTTGAATTATCATAAATTTTTTATATTTTTTTCCTTATAATATATTTCATGTGTAGATATAATGGGCTTTATAATAGTCCATACTTTTTTATTCATACCAAATAATGTTTCAGCTTACCATTTTTGCTAGAGATAGGCCTATTATTCTTATTATAACATTCAGCATACCCAAAAATTTTGGTCAGGATTTGCCCATTTAATTGTTTCTTGTTTTACAGTGTATCTTTATTTGTCTGTACTTTCATCAACCCAACAGCTTTTTTCAAATTTACTATTGATTGGTAATGGCTGAGTTTGGAATAATGCTTGGTGTGATCTATGGGTAGAGATGCTCTTTGCTTTAATTGGCTGAAACTGGCCAAATTATAGGCTGAAAATGTTCCTAATAAATCCTTATTTTTTGCTTTCTTAACAAGTATGAGTTTTATTTTTTATTTCAGTGTGGTACCAGATTTTGTTCATTTCTCAGTTAAAATATATTTTAAAAATACAAGGTGTAAAAACACAAATAAATATTTCTTATTTTCTTGTATTTATTTGCCAATTAATATGTGTTTGTTGGTGGTCACTGGTTATGCAGAATCAGGAACAAAAACTATAAAAAGGAACTTTTTAGAGTTATGGTTTTGGATCTGATATCATAACCATTTTTATTTTGCAATCAAAATTCTTATAATTTAGAAATTCCAGAACAAAATTGATATTTTCATGTAGGATTTTTAATTTCTCTTTGACATTCAATGTTTTCTTAAGATGCTTTCTGCAAATGTAGTAAATTTAAATACAGACACTGCCTATACTGATTCTAGCAGACAGCTACATTGGCATATGAATATTTTTAATCAACAGCTAAGAATAGCATAAACTAAAATTTATAAAGCAATACTCGAGACATTGCATCAACCTTTCAACAGTGGAATAGTCAGGTATAGTGCTATCCCAAAGTAGTGGAGAATAAACGTGGGAAATTTTTAAAGTAATTTTTCACGTGTTTTTTCTCATCATCGTTTCAGAAGAAGATTTTGTAAACAGTTATGTCTAGTAAAGAAAAGTCTTTTTTTGTTGTTACATAATTTATTTTTTATGTGAATTTTTTTTTTCATGGTAGTTTTTGGCGATATCCCCCAAAAGAATTTAATGGATATATCCGTCCTTCACTGCTGAGTGGTTAATAGTAAAGAAAGTAACCTATCACAAGTGTTGAAAGCAATGTTATTTACCTCTGACTATAGCATACATTAACACAACATTATAAATTTTGTCACCTCATTCACTAGTCATTAATGTGTGTGTTACAACATTTAAAAAATTTTTCTAGTTATCTTCAATTGTATTATGGAAAGTTATGTGAATATTTTTTAAAAATTTATTATTGTCATATTTTGTCATTAAGTACATCATATTTATTTTTTGAATTTGAATATTGTTACATGGCGTATAGAATGTTCTGTTTTAAAATAGTTGTTTGAATAATAGCATTCAATTTACGGAAACACAATAGCCTGAAGAAGATCTCTGAAAATGATAAAAAATGTTCATTTGTGCCAATATAGCTGTCTGTCTGAACCAGTACGGAAGTTATCTGTGAGTATTTATATCCTTTTCCAGCTTCTGAGGTATTTTTTGTAGTAAATTTAATATGTAACCTATAAAATATAAAAGATGGCATGAATATTTATTGAATGAAATTTAAGCAAATTTCTAAAAGTCAAATTTCTTTTGGACTAGACTTGAATCAAGTCTACTTATAACTGAAAGATATTTGATTAAGATTTGAGCTTGGTTGTTATATAATTTTATAACATTTAAACTAATAATTAATCTAGTTTGAAACAGTTGTTTATAGCTTTAAATTAGTATGTATTATCAGGTTGTAAAAGAGAAGGAGGGATGAACCAGTTATAAAATTTGCAAAGGACTTGATGGTTGGTGAGAAGATTCTTAAGTTTTTAATGTAAAAAATGTCAGATTCTACAATAAAAGGCTGGCGTTTGATTATTTTTAAACATTGTGAACGTAGAAACTTTTTATTCCAAAGCTAAAAGACTCCTCTAAGTAATGACACAGTCAATATATAAATATATATTCGATAATTTTTACTTTTCCAGCCGTTATATATAACAGAGGGAAAGTATAGCGCTCGGTCAAAAAATGACCACGCCCAAATTTTTACATTTTTGGACTCAGGACACCTTGAAATTTCAAGATATGCAAAAGATTCAAGGTTTTTTTTAATATGTGTGGATGTTAGACTGTGTAGGGGGGCATGATTTTGTTCACTCTGTTTGAAGCCTAATAATTTCTGTGGTCAGAGTGGTTAGAATCAGAGTCAGATGGTTTAACACAGGAGTTAGTTATTAAACGTTGGAGTGGTTGAACTAAATCATGTCCCCATATACATTCTAACATTGTAGGTGAGAACATCTTAACGGGTTTTACTGTACTATTATAAAATGACAAAAAAGCTTACTTTGAGGATAGAGACAAGTTTTACTTTTTATTTTTTAAATTTTGAATGCTAATAACAAGTAAAATATTCATTAAGAGATATGACACATGACCCCTTTTATGTCTTCATCCTGTTGACCTTTAATTAAGAACCAAAATTTAATAGTATTATTCCCTTTATATGCAAGCTACAGTGCCACATTTCGTTTCTTAAACTTTACCCATTTTGAGATATTAAACAATATCTCAGAACAGAAAGTAAAGAAATTAAACAAATTAGATGCCAACACATACGCACGCGAATTTTTCCTCTTTTATTGACTTTTTTGGGGGTTCGGGTGGTCTCCAAACGTATGTGTAGATTTGCAAAAAAAACTTGGAAGGTCAAATTTGACACAATTTCAATACTTTTCCGTTTTATATACATAGCAAGTTGGGAAATAAAAAGGAGTCAGAGTCGGTGGATTCTTTGACGATTGACTCCGGCTAAAACACCAAAATTCTACGACTCCGACTCCACAGCCCTGATAGGAACACTCATCACTGATGATGCTCTGCAACTGATAGATGGATTTCCATCTATCAGTTGCAGAGCATCATCATCAATGGTGGAATTGCTGCCTGGTGGGGTTCATCTTGAAGCAAGAGATCTTCACCCTTAAATTTCTTAAACCAATTGTAGCAGGTCTTCCTGTTGACTGTCCTTGCCAAATACCTTACTTGTGAGATCATGAGCCTTTATTGCATTTTGACGACTTTTGAATTGATGAAGCAACAACACATGAATATGTTTTTTTGAAAATTTCATATTGTTAGACATTGCTGATACATCTATTTCCAATG